AGGAAGGATCCATTCCCCAAGATGTGACAGTAAAAGTGAGAAAGTGAACTGAACTCTGGCACTTACTCTTTGTATACCATACGGGAGCGACACCCTCCAAGTGTTTATCTAAGTGGACAGCTTAGTCAGGATTAGCTGGACTAACGGCAAACATCTTTAGAGGCAGAGAGGTCACCTTGTCTGTGCATGGATGCGCATGTTTCAGGAGTACAGTGTCCATATGTTGTAAATCCTTCCCTCAGGAACACACAAAAAAAACATTAAGGATGCCTGAAGTGCCTTAATGCATGTATGCACCAGAATGAAGAAAATACTCACCCCAGAAAAGACTCATGCACAACTGGGGGTCTAACAACATGAGGCAGCTCTTCCAAAGGAATTACATGGTCAGCGTGTGTCAGCGGAAAAAACAAACAAAAACAAAAAAACATATACAGTATTTACACCAGTTCTCATTGGATCAAATAACCTTAAAAAGGTTCTGAAGAAGTATTTCAATGCATGCACATCAGAGGCGTCACAAGAAAAGGTGGGATGATGTACTGTAGAAACAGAAGCAAAAGAAAGAGGGAGGGAGCAAGGGCAGTACAGTAACACTAAGTCCTCTCCTCACTAACCTACCACCAACTTCATCACCCGCAGGAATAACAGTTGGGCACGGACAAAAGCCTTGCGGCTAAAGACACTCAGATAGCACACAGAGAAAAACTTTTGTAAAGCGCAACGCATGGGGAGGAGAACTCTATAACACTTTCTAACATCCCGAATGACAATGCCACATGTCAGCCTACAAGAAGAATCACTGCTTTCGGCTTAGTTGCATATGAATTGACTCGAAAGAGAAGCCCTGCAATCCATCAGGGGTTAAATAGTTCAAACAGGATGGGTGGATATAAATAGATGGATTGATAGATAGGTACCAGAAGACTCAGATATAATGTATACAGTAGATTCTCATAGGTTGCTTTGTGAGTTGCTGGGGGTTATGTGAGGTGTGTGTTTGTAAGAGTGTGTGTCAGCAAATATGTTGCCCCATGGGACCACAGTGGAACCTCACACCAGCCCCCACAGGGAAGGATAAGGCCATCTGCCCACCCTACACACCAATCCCACCTAGAGGATACACACTCTCAGGAGCAATATGGAGGGGCTTTGCAGACAGTGTTTGATCTGCTTTCATCCAGCCAGCAGCATGCAGGATGCTGATCCTCTCTGTATGTCTACTCCTCTACTGTCCACTGTCCCAGTGGAAATCACTGGCCGAAGAAAACATCTTCAACCAGAGGCATGAATGGCAGGACACAAGCTGATCAGCTTCATCTCTCAGCTGAGGGAACAGGAGGGGGTGGCATAGCTCAGTAGGTCTTTTCAAACTAAAATGACTTAAGTCTAATATTTCTTTGAAAGAAAGGGTCACACAGAGAATACCTTCTCTGAAAGGATGAACTAAATGTCAGAAAGCTGGGATTAAAAATGCAACAAAGTAGATTTAAAAGACTGAATTAACACATGCAAAAATCAAAAACAACTGCAGAGTCAGTGCCTACATGCAATTGAACAACATGAAACTAATAAAATTAATTACAATTAAATTAAATGAAAGATGCATTACAGTCATTCGAAGTACAAGTGAAACAACAGATGATTGAGAAATAAACAAATCACTGAGAGAGGACCAGAATCTTTCCTCTTTGGGTGCCTTGAAAAGCGCTATATAAATCCAATCAATTATTATTATTATTATTATTACTCTCTGGACATAGTGATAAAGAACCTACTTTCAGCTGCTCCCTTATTCACAGGGGGTCTCCACAGCAGGAAGCTGTACATGCTTGGTTTGGCTGAGTTTTTACACCAGACACCCTCCCTGACACGAATCCCTCTGGGTTTGAGCTTTCTCCCAGGACTGAACCAGGGATCTTTTGTTAGTTAATCAAATGGTCAAAACGCTACACCACAGAGCCGCTACGGTGACAAAGAGGAGAACTCTGTCTAAAGTGAGAACCATGATGAACAATGGATCACATCTCACTCGTGAAATACTAGTCGTCAGAGGTTACATTCAATTATTTATCTCGATTAATAATCTGGCAGATGGCTGCCCCTCCCTGACTGGTGTAGACGTTTCTTTCTGTTAAAAGGGAGTTTTTCCTTCCCACTCTCACCAAGTGCTTGCTCATGAGGGGGTCGTCAGAATGTTGGGGTCTTCTCTGTATTATTGCAGTGTCTTTACCTTACAATATAAAGCCCCTTGAACCTGTGACATGTGATTTAGCTCTATAGAAATAAAACTGAACTGTATATTGGCTAAGAGAGTTCAGGCAAGAGGTGGTACAGGAAGTCACCCTTGTCAGCTTTTTCTTTTGTGTATATTTTGTGCATAAATTGCATATTTTGACCAAAATGCAAAAGACAATCAGGTAAACGCTGGATGAAGGGGCAGTAGCAATCAAAACTAAACTTTGACCATTTGTAAAGAACAAGAAGAAACATGTTTTAAAGTTCTCATGTATCTTTTTCATCAGTGAGTTGCTGTGTGGTTTGACGCAGGCTCAGGCACAGATGGACACAGAGCTGCTGTGGTTGTATTTTACGAGTCCACTCAGCTGAAGATCTGAGGCCTGTCTGGAGCAACGGCTAGCCTCAACATCAGACTACAGCACACACAAACACACATACACACTGACAGCTATTAGGCAATCGATAGAAGCTAATACATCAGAGCATTTGACTACTCAGCTCTGTATGAGAGAAGAGAAGAGAAGAGCTAATCATGAGTGTAAATGCATGATTAGCTCAATATTTGAATCATACCACTGAATGTTGCACTCTTACGGGTCGCATTTGAGTGTTACAGAGTATCAAAGTATTGAAACTGCTTTGCGGAATGTTATGCTCTATTGCTTCAACCTCAGAGGGAATTAACTGCCATAAAAACTTCACTCCTCCAATCATTAATATCACATTAATACAGAGATGAAGCCGATGGATTGCCCTTTAGAGGGCCCTGTTAGCTTGCCAGGAGGTTAAGTGTGAAATCAATCCACATAAACAACCTAAATAAAAATTCTTCCAGGCTTTAGCGCTGAGTTCTAAATCAGCCAATCACAGAGGCGCTAGTAAAACCAGTATTTTAGCACAGCATGCTAACAATCTCAGTATTTCAGCTCTGGCAGCTCATTCTCGCTTTTCTCCTTCTGTCTTTCTTTTTGTCTTTGTTTCTTGTCCCGTCCTTCTCCTCCACCCCTTTTGCTCCTGGAAGACCACAAAGGGGAGTATCTTGTCTTTTCACAGTGGGCCCATTCATGGTGGCTTGAGGGGTTGTATACGTGGGAGGGGCTAGTCCATTGAAGGTTGATCTAGACTTGCTCAAGCATCCATATTTTGGCTATTTGAAGAGAGAGGGAGGCTGTTAAACACTGAGTAAGGAGGTGACCCCTGACCCTGACGACTGCTGTCCATCCATTATAGAAAATAAACAGAGAGGCTGGAGTGATTGCTAATCTCTTTACTGCTCTTATCTCTGCAGACAACCCAGGAGGAAGTCTAATTTTCAGTCTTTAATTGCTCTGAGCTGATGGCAACTTTGAATGTCTAATTTGTTTTACTGGCACTTGTAAAATGTTGTGCTTCGTGATGTGTTTTCGCTCACTTTCTTCAGTGTCTTGTTTCATAGTTTTCCTCTTCTACGTTCTACTTGAACCTACCTTTGCAGTGTGATTGATATTACTCCTCCAAACAGTTTGAAGGATGGCAGCCAAGAGGTTAAAGGTGACATAACAGAGCACAGAGACAAAGACTGGACACTGTGTCATCTGTCAGACCTCATGCTGTTGCCACCACCACACTACCAATTGGGGCTTTCCTTAAATTAACCCTAAGACACAGACACACACACACTTTTCTCTATCTATCCGATCTCAGGGGAACACATGTGGGACAGTTTGTGCCAGCATGAGGGCAGATGTCAGTCATGGCGACTGCCTTTGTGTGTGGAGAAATGACCCTTACTGCTTCATTTCATTGTCATTCATTTGGTCCTGTGGGGTTTGTTCATTTTTACTGTGAGCATGACGCATCCAATTCATCACGTGGCTTAAAAAAAAAAAAAGCTCGGCAGACTGTAAATGCATATGGAGTGACATGTGCCTGACTGGATGGATGCATGTCTGGAATTGGGAATGGAGATTGCATTAGGCATGTTGAGATGCAGTTATGTTAATTTACATAAAATAAAACTCTTGCTTCTTGGTTGTAATTCAAATTCAAATTTTTATTAATGGTAAATAACAACTGTTTAAAGGTTTTATTCATCATGAAAACATAAAAAACAAAAACAAAAAACCCTTTAAGACTATTAACAAGCCAGAGTGCACAGTGTGGGCAATGTTAATTTATTTTATTCGTTTTAGAAATACATTTTCTACATTCGGAAATAAACAAGAGCAAAAACACTCTTGTTGCATGCGCTGATTTTTGTTTTTTAGGTTAACCATGAAAAAGTGGACGCTCAAAGTGAACAAACGACGACTCTTGTAGTTGCTTTCTGGCAGCTTAACATTACAGTAAAAAACATTATCATACATTATAAATTAGGAGGGGGTACATTTATACACAAATCGACTCAAATCTACAGCGATAAAATAGGTTTGCTTTTGAAGCGGTAGATGACGCAAGGAAATAATAATAATAATAATAATAATAATAATAATACGCATTACAATGCATCAAAACTGTCCCGCACAACAATAGTAGAGAAGCTTTAAGCCACATGACAATACACAACATGTTCATATAAACAGACGCGGACACAGTTGCCCAGCAGCTCAAATTATCCAGTTATTATCTACCTATTTAAATAGGCCTGTACAACAAATTTACCTTCATGTTTCACAGTCTCACCACAAACACTGCGTAAAGATTCTTCGCTGTGTTTGTGCCGTCTCAAATCATCTAGAATATATCACAGGATCAGTCATGTTTACAGAAGAAAGTGGAGTCTAGTTCCAGGGCCGATATTCTGGATTTAAAACTGTTAAGCCGCTGTAAGGAAAGTTTTGTCCGCTATTCTTCTGATGGTCCTTCAGCGGAAACAGGGACTCCTCCTGCAATCCTCTCTCCAGAGAAGACGGGAGAATGGTGCTGTCCAAGATTTGCCTTTCTGCGGGGAAGAAAAATACCAGAAAATATGTAGTTTAAAAAAAAAGTATGCAACATTTTAGTTTGGCAGTTTGCAGTAGTTTTTTTAAGGGCATTGCCAATGACAGCAGTCTGTAGCAAAGCTAATTAATATTTCAACTGTCTTAGTTTAATTTTATTATGGAATATTATTATTATTATTATTATTATTATTATTATTAATGATAATAATAATAACAATAATAATAATAGTACTGAACTTCTATTCCTCTTAATATTCGATTGCTTCAATTGCTTTACTGTAATGAAGCTTTAAACAGCACCCATAAAAACGTCTGAACCCATAAAAAAAACACCTGATGCCATGCTGTTAGCCTAAAACACTTCCCATGCGGGTATTTTAAATCGAGCGCTTACTTTTGTGGCTTTTCATGTGGTATTTAAGCTCCTGCTCTTCTTGGAAAGACACTCCGCACAGCTCGCATGGATACGGCTTGTCTCTGGCGTGCGTCCGACGGACGTGGCTGTCGTGGGCGGCGTGGGAGGCGAAGGCCTTCCCGCAGTGCTTGCACTTGAAGGGCCTCTCACCGGAGTGCTGTCGGATGTGTGTGCGCAGAATGCTGGAGGCAGTGAAGGCCTGGGAGAGTGGAGTTTAAAACACTGGGTAAGCGTAAATAAGCGCAATTTCAGTTGTCAAGTTAAAGGCAAGATAAACGTTGTTTTTTTTTTGTTTTTTTACAAGCTAACAGTTACCTTTTTCACAGGAGCCATTAAAAAAATATTTTTCAGAAAAAGTTTTTATTTTTTATTTTTTTTAATGCTCCTTAACATTTCGTGAACACTTTTGTTAAAGGATTTCCCCCCCCCCTGTTTTTGTGGCATTTTTAGGGGCAGCCTACTACTCAAAGGCGGCAAAAACCTTTGGGCTCGTGCCACATTGCTAAAATAGTCGAAATAAAGGAGAAAGGGGAACAGCTTGAACAAAACGTCCACAGTCCGCATAAAAAGGGAAGGATATCGAGAACAAAAAAAACTTCTGCTCATTCCAGGGCCATAAAATAAAAGTATAATCTTGGCAGACAAAGGGGTGGGTGTACATCTGGCGATAATTAGCATGTAAGTGTCTATGCAGAGCGTGCCCTCCGCGAGGAACAATAAGGAGAGGCGCGTGCCAAATGCACCGTAACAGGAGGAAACCCGAAATGGTTTAAAGAGGAACGAGTAGAAAGCCTGCAGGTCTAATAGAAGCAGGTTGGGAAAAACCTCTCAGAGGACAGTGTCGTTATAAAACAATTTATGTTTCTAAGATTTTCATTTTATTTTGTTTGTATATATTTATTTTTGGCAGCACACCCATGGCGTATTCAAACTATTCTGGCACCAGCAATTAAGTCGAATTCCAGGGTTTATTCCTATTTTTCTTCAGCATCGAGCCAATTGTCAAACGGTCTTGTCTTTGTCAAGCCAAACGCATCTTTAGAAAGAATACAAAAAAGCTTCTTACCTTATTGCAGTAGACACACTTGTACGGACGTTCACCCGAGTGCACGCGCATGTGTTTGTTGAGACTGGAGGACTGGGAGAAGCTTTTCCCACAAACCGAGCACTGCAGCAAATTCACATACACAAAGTGTCACTCGAATGCATTAAGCTCAAAATAAAGCTAAAAAGAACCTAACCTCATTTTGTGAATGGGTTTAAATACATTTCGGAGTTGTTTTCGCTTTTCAGAAACAAAACAAAATGCATGTCTCATATAAATGTTATTCTTTTTTTTCTTCTTTTTTTTACGTCCAATAAAATTCTGAAGGTCCCTGTGACGCAGTGTAGGAGCTGTTCTTTCAGCACCATCTAAAACTTTTCACAGACCACAACCATGTAAAGGGAGGTTTGTGTGGAAATCCCTCACAAAAGCAAGACGGATGCAGGGATGTTGTACCTTGTGAGGTCTGTGTTTCTCGTGGACGTGGAGGATGTGGATCCGTAATCGGTCCCTCTTCTCGAAAGATCTGTTGCAGAGGTGACACGGAAACTTCCTGTCCCCCTGATCCACGCAGCGGGTGTATTTCAGGTGTTTGTCTCTGTAGTATTTGTACGCAAAAACCTTCCCACATCTGTCACACTTGAAGCCTTCGCTTGAATCTGGGGAAAAACTTTTTTTTTTTAAAAACAAACTAAATATATGTATGGTGATTAAAAAAGTGAAGAAGATTAAATCCTGACCTTCAGAGGGAGGCACCGCGTTGCTGTCCTCTCTAGGGTCTTTCAGTGTGAGGGGGATCCCGAGGAACTGGATGTAGCAGTCTCCGTACCACACCAAAAGCTCCTGGCCTGGCGTGATCTCCTTGCAGGCCTCGTAAAATATCTGGCCCTGGACCTGCACGGCAACCAGGTTCTGCTCCTCGGGAAAGCGAGCGCACTTCACCAGAGACATCCAGTTACCAGATCCCCCTCTTCCGTCCACAAAGTGACTGAGGCGGCCGTTCTCAAACACCTGCAGGGTGTGTTAGAAGTATTAGAAGTACCGACAAAAAAAAAATCTAGATAAAGACCAGTACTGTGAGGAGACAATTCACCACCCTACCTCCCACATCAAGGTGTTATCGTCGTATATTTTAATTTCGCTTGTGTTGACTAGTTTTCCTTGGAAAGGTCCAAAACGGGCGCCTTTAGGAATACTGTGTTTATCCGCAAAAACACCACAGCTCGAAGCGTTTCCCCAGGATGCCTGGAGAATGGTTAACCCTGCAGCACAGAGCCAATAAAGCGGTCTCAGATTTCATTACTCTATCATGCAATCAAGGACACACGAAAAGGTGATTCAAATAAATAAATAGATAAAAAATGGTGGCTTCTTACCCTCTGGAAGTTCAAGAGTTTCTTTGTCCAGTGGGAAAATGTGCGAGTCAGAAACTAAAGAGAAAACAAACAAATGTGAACAAAATAGGGAGATAAAAAAGGTTTCTCGTTACTATTTCAGCGGGAGTATTTGAGTAGTGTTTCATCTTTAACTGCATTACAAAGATTCTGATCGATGTGTTATATTCGGCTATAATAGTAGTGACAGGGAAACATTTATGTTTGGGGGATAGCGTGAAATCAAGGGCAGTTTTTATTATCGCACACCAAACAAAATGAAACGCCAGTCATTTTAATCCATAGTCCGTAATCTGAATTCTCACTTGAGTTTTCCGGCAGGGCCACTCCTGATATGGCGTGACCCACGCTACGCTCCTGGCTGCCGGAGTATCCGTAGAGCACCGTGAACAAGTCGTCCTCACTGAAGTTGTACGATGCGCCCTTTTTCTCTGTGGAATGGTCCGTGCCCCGGAGCCGAAGGAAGCTCTCCTTGGGCGGTGTGTTGGCGGATGTAGGAGCAGAAGACCGTTCACTGGACGGGCTGCTGAAGTCTGAAGACAGCGGACCGGTGGCGTGTTCGGTCACCACAGCAGCCAGCTCCTCCGGTTTGGAGTAGAGTGGGTGTCCGGGCAACATCTGGCTCAGATACGGGATGCTGGAGGCGCTCAACATGTGTTCGTGGAGGACCGAGGCGTTGTGGCCGGCCTGGCCGAGAAAGGGAGTGGCCCCGCCGTGCAGGCTGAGCGGCAGGGAAGCCTGAGCGTCCGACACCAGACGACCGAGGGACTTGAGCGGGTGGAGAAGGTTGTGCGTACGCGGGAAGAAGTCCACATAGTGATGAGGGCCGGGGAGAGGAGCTGGGTAGAAGCCGCGGGCAGGACTGCCCTTCAGCATGCCGGCTGGATAGCTCTTCTCCTTCAGCATTACAGGGATGCTGGACACGGACACCGACATGACAGCACAGGAGGTGAGGCAAAGGGTCAAATGGAGAAGATGATGTAGCCTTCTGTGGGGAAGAGAGATAGAAGCAAGTGGGAGCGTGGGTAGAGGGGAGGGGGTGTAGTCATAAAAGTTTAATGTAAGAAATCTAAAAAAGGAAACAGGACATCAAAAGAGGCCGAACCCACCAGAACTGATTATTTTAATGAACGTAAGACTTTACTTCGCTCTCCAGTTATGAACATTTCTTCCAAATATTTTAAGATTTTTCCAAAGGTGTTAAGAAGCTTGGCAACCCTCTGGTTAAATGTGGAACTGATACAAACTGCAGATGATTATGGCTAAGAAATTGAAATCTACAACAGGTTCGCAGTGTTTTTCTTTTAAAATGAAAAGTAATGAAACTGTCGGCGACAGATGAAAATACTGCGTACATAAAGGGGGAAAGCAATCCGCAGTGAACTCGGACAGCCGATTTTGCATTATTTCCAGCTGAAGGGTCACACACAAGCCACACATCAAATGTTCATCAGAGGCTTTTCAGATGACCCCACTGCATGGTGGTGTGCTTTTTAGGAACAGTTTACCAGTCAGCCAGTAAATAGAGAGACAAATCAGGGTCATGACACTAATTAAAGAACCGCTGGCCAGAGCAGAGGTCAACATTAATGAAGCTTTTAATGACTTTTACAATCAGCCCGCTGTATGAAGGGAAATAGGGTCGCGATAGGAGTGCGTAATGCCCGCTGGGGGGGCTTTAAAATTAGTTTTTTAAAGGTACAAACAAATTAGGAATCATGTGAAATGACTGAAATTAAAGCGGACCGCTACAAACATTTTGTGAACTTTAATAAAGAAGCTTACCTTCTGAGAAACAATTAGAGGAGCTTCACGCGGGCGATGTGTCCGTCATGCCCACAGGCCAGAGTTTGATCAACCTCCCGTGCTGTAAAATCAAACACTGCAGACAAACGTTCAGATTCTGCCGGGAGCAGCCGAAACTTAAGAGAGGATGTGCTGCTCTGTGGTCATCTGAGGGCACCTATGCCGTATACAGCTATCTCCTTACTCCTATTGGCCAGGAGTCAGCTCAACCTCATGCATTTCAATGCCACCCACCCCATAGGAATAGATTTTCTCAGGGCCAACCCACCCCCGTGTTCTTTGCACTTCGGAGTCGGTTCTCTTTGCCACAGTGAGGCCGATTATGAGAACGAGCCTAAGATTTCAATTTGCTCACGAGGCGTGGATTATCGTGCTTCACACTTAGACGCTAGAAATAAAGAAGAGATAAAAAAAAAAATAGCGGGGAAATGACCAGGCATTTATTAGATCACTGCTCCGACCTTTATTGTATACAGAAAAAAAACTTAACCCAATCCCCATCAATACTTCAGTAAAGTGCAAATGTAAAGTTGTTTGCTTTTTTATAAAAGGTTTTTATTGCTAATTTTAAACAGGCAATTTTCTTGTGCTCTAGATCAGCGGAGCTTCTTGTGTTTTTTTGGAAAAATAAAACAAACATAAGAGGCCTACACCTTCATAAAACCATTTAAAAAGCTCAGTTTTTACTGGCGAATGAAATATTTCATTCGAAACTTTTGGCGATTCGATGACTTGCGATCTTTTATATTAATAAAAAAAGTCTACCAATTATATAACATTTACAATAGCTTATCATATACTGAAATATATTTGTTCAATTTTGTTATGTCTATGAAAAACTAAATAAAGATGTCACTAAGTAGCCAGCTAATAACTTTATGTTTCAGTTAGAAAAACAAAACCTGAACACTAATCTTCGTGCGCTTGGAAATGAAATAAGAGTCGCTCGATTAAATAATGCAATAACAGAATTCTTTATTTACAAGGCAAATAGCATCAGCGAAGCCATATTAGTTCACAACTTGCATAACTGTGGTTTTAACTTCTCTTGTATATCTAACTTTGCATAAAACGCTCACACACACTAGGGGTACAATGATCGATGCGGGTATACAGTGTGACTCGTGAACAATGCAGAAAAAATATCTCGGGGGGAGGGGGGTAAAACACAACAGTAAGCTTTCTTCAGAAAGTCCATAGAGTATATTACATATTGCTTCGGTATCCCTATGTATCATCACCTTTGTCCATACAAACAGTGAGCGGAGGGCGAGGAGATGACCCAACACGGAACAGAGAGCAAAGGAGAACCGTGACCAAGTTCCCAGCAGCTGAGAAGAGTTGAACAATGATGCACCCATTCAATATTGTACACAAGTCATTATACAAATTTATACAGACAGCGGTGTAATGTACAAGAACGGACAAAATCTAAGGCATTATGCTAGGGTTTTTAGCATTTCAAGGTTGCATCTTAGCTCTAAGAAATTGGCAGACAATACAAAAGGGCATTTAAAGTTCTTCAAAACCATAAGTTACAGAGGAAAAAAATATTTTTGATTCATGGGTCCAAAGCCTGGATATCTGTGAGGGGCAAAAATCATTTATTTGCTCCTGTCCTCATTATAAGTGCTAAAAAGAAAAAAAAATGCACTGCTACCAACATGGCTTTAAGTCTTTTTAAAATCTTAACAATCTTTGGAAATTTTGCAAAGGGCTGTGATTCCTTTTTTTAAAATGGCTCAAAAGGCTGATTCTGCACGGCCGCATCTTTTATTTTTTTTTTCCTTGTACAATCAAAACAGCATCTATCAAAAAGGTGGGATCTCCTGTAGGTCTACGACAACAACTAGAACAACAACAAAAGCACCTGCAGAACAACCAAAGCGTTAATGCAGGCTTCCTTTGTTCCACAGTTGAATTGCTATAGCTTCAAATTTCATACAGAAATTAAAAGTGGAAAAAACAAGGAAAAAGAAGCAACGATGGATAACGTCAGAAACACCGAGAAGAGCACGGTGTAACCGCACATGTTGTCCACACCTCAATGCACCACCAGTCACATCCTTAGGCCTTTATGGACAATACATTCAGAGTGATTCTCTTCCTGTTTTATGATGTAACATTTACATCAGACCCTGTTGAGTGACATCATCACAAATTTCTTGTTTTTCCTGTGGGCCAAACCATGGTAACCATCAAATGGTTACTTAGAAAAAATAAATAAATAAAAAGAAAATGAGTAGAATTCAGAAATCCAATTGAAATGTGAAGATTATTTGGCTTGCTCAAAGTCTGTCCTGGGTTAAAATAGTCGATATAAAAAGTTTTTTATTTTTTTTTTGAGGAAAATCTTCTGAGGTTAGAGAAGATGACTCGCTTTAGATCTTGTGAAGGCCAAACCAACCCCCCTGTCTGGTGGGGCACAAGAACAAGCAGGTCATTACTGAACACTTTATAGGTGAACTAACTGCCTGAGGTCATAAAATATGGCTAAGTGTCTGTCAGAGCAGCTCTTGTGAAGCGTGCAGTCTTAACTCTGACCTCTGCTATAGAAGAACGGCTGGAGGCAGAGAGGGCATGTGTCAATATGGGGACCACAAACGAACTCCCTCTCCAGATCTCAGCCTATGCTGCATAATCTAATAGGAACGCTGTGTGTGTGTGCTGTGTATGTGTGTGTGTGTCTGTGGATGTAGACTTTCTTGGTACAAACTGCAATAAAAAACTGTGTTTAATACTGCATCCAAACGCAGAGGAAAAACGTGTCCTTTTTTCCCAGGAAACTGTACAAAAATTACAAAAAAAAAACCAAACCAAAAAAAACCAAACCAAAAGATTCTCAAGTAATTGTTATTGCTTGTTTACAACACACAGAACAGTTTGCACCTAGCAGCTTGTATGAAGCATTTTTCCACTCCAGACAACATAGAAAGCACACTTTATCTTTTTTTTCTTTTTTTCTTTTTTTTACTGTATGGCTGTGTTGAATTGATTTTTTTCCTTCTTTTATTTATTTTTGTTGTGTTCTATGCTAAAGGCAGAGAAGCAAGCGATAATCTGTACACTGTATACACAGCACACCCATTTACAACCCTCCCTACCTCCCGCCCGCACCCCTGTCTGCACTGTACCAGAACTTTAAGAAGGTGAAGGTTCTCCCTCCACTTCCTCAAAAAACACACACACACACAACCCCTCCCCCCAAAACACTGCTCTGCTTCAGGAGGCAGTTGGGGACCAGGCTGAGAGACGTTAAGCCCCAGGGAATAAAATAAATAGGAAAGAAAACGATTTTACTTATTGTTATGTACAAACTCTGTAATTAATTTCAAACTATATTTGATTTTGACATCTTCTGAAACTACATGACCAAAGCAAAATCCACCATTCAGGTTAATAGAAGAATCTTCTCAGAAAGAATACAACCATTGCTGTTAAAATTATAAAAAGAAGTGCCTCTTTCACAATTTTAGAAATATTCTTCTTCTTGCTACTAAGATAAAGAATAATCTACAATAATTAAAATGAATCTATACAGAAAATAAAACTTAATTTAATACACTATATAAACCTCTTTAATTAATCTAATCTTAGAATTCACCATTCAAACCAGTCTTCTGCAGTGTTTTCTTCCCCCCCACGTTCAGTTTCTCTCTCTCACTCTCTTTTCTAAACACCATATTTTTCACTCTACATCTTAAATTTTCACAACAACAAAAATACAAACAGAAACAAACAAATAGGAAAAATCTAAAAAAAACAACAACAACAACAACAATAATAATTATAATAACAAAAACAATAAAATAAAGAACAGCAAAAAGGCAAAATCGGCTAAGTGTCTGAGCTCCATCCATAAGTGTGAACATAACTTGGGAGTATTTGCTGCCATTCGGAACTATGTGGAAATTTCTCCAACGATCCAGAGGTTGGGGGAGGGGGTGGAGAATAAAGGGGGCTCCGGGGGTAGAGAAGAGAAGAAATCAGTGTATGTGATCTTTCGAGATGAGATTGTAAATGGCCGCTGTCCACTGAGAGGAATACATTCATCTGAACAAAATCCACCCACTGCCGCCCCCTTAAGTCAGTGTACCCCACCAGGAGGCCTACAGTAAGTCACACTACGGTGAATGCAGGTGGACAGGCAGATTGACTGGCTCGTCACGAGGCTCTCCCTCCAGGAGGATTAGGCTTGTTGGGACAGATATCCGCGATCCTTCCCCAGCCAGTGTCTGAGTGGGATCCAGCTGGACAGACGGCAAACTTGAGCTGGGGAGGGGTGAGGGGCCGGGGGTCAGGGCACGGCCTGGCTGGTTCAAGGGGCAGTCGGTTGATTACGTGTTTTCTTTCTTTCTTTCTCTCTCTCTTTTTCTTTTTTAAATAATTAAAGGGCCGACGCGCTTCTTGAGCCAGGTTGATCACTGAGGTCCAGGTGAGTAGCTCCATGGGGGTCAACAGTATTTCTGCAGAGAAACGGCACACTGTAAGTCCCAACTAGAAAGGCAGTTACTGAATCCGCAATTCAACAGCAGCACATCTGACTGGTTAACTTGAACTTGCAGAACCTAAACTTGTTTGCAGAGCGGAGTGCATCGTCGGCTCAAAAACAAGTCGGTAAATCACAGATGCCTGCACTAATGGGCAAACAGTAAATAATTGAAATAATCTAAGTGCCAATATTTTTCTATAATCCTGCAAGGGAGATAAATCAAGTGACACGTATACTGGTGTGTTACAACAGTCTCAAGTGCAGACATCGAATGGCAGCCCCTTGGTTAAATATTCATGGCCCTTTATTGGCTTAAAAGCATCGCGGACAACAACAGTGCTTTCCATATACCAAGCTAACAATACCAGTGAGACAAAGGAAGAAGGATTAACTTGGACAACATTAAAACAATGATAAACACCAGCAACTAAGTGCTGCCAAAGTGAAAACATTTTCACATTTAGTGGGAGAAGTAGCTTATCTACATGCAAGTATGACTTCACCTCTCCTAATGACGTAGGGTCACTCTCCTGAATGTGTGTAAAGGCTGTGGCGATTTGACAGATCTGAGGCCTTAAGGAGTCAAGCTCTCCATGTTAAGCCAACCAGCTCGTGAGTCCACAGCTGACAGAGGCTGGTCTTTGATCGGCATACCCGTCTTTAGCCGTCTACAGTCTCAACGCTCCGGCTTGGAAGTGCACATTGCTAATTACATCACTGACCTCTAAGTTCAAGTTATGCAGCAGAACTACAGCAAGAAGAGTTACGTAAACAACTAAATTATTCACTAGCCTGCTGGTTCAGTAAGTGTACCCAAACACTCGGGGTCGTATGATAAGACAAACACTGATAGTAGAAGCCAGGAGTGGAGAGAAAAGCCTTTTAGTATTTCTTGGTCCCCTGATTACTGTGGAAAACTTTGTGGGGTCCATTCAGTTAACCTGGAACTGATTTCTACAGAGTACGACTGTAAAGAGATACCCTGAGGATATTACAGAACACCTCTAATTCGGTCAGGCCAAGCCCGATGATGCCCGACTGTGAAAGGATGAGAAACACCAGTGGGTATTTCCTAAACCACTCAAGTTTCACCATTTTTGCTCTAACCAATTTGAAAAAATAAAAAAGCTTCCTAATGTTGTCTCATTTAAAGGACCAATGTATCTGGACTGGCCTGAAATTATTTACCTGTTCTTGCCCCATGGAGGGCAAGCCAGGTGAGGGACCCGAGGCCATGGACGTGACACTCATTTGTCCGGCCATCTGGCCCATGCTGCTGGTTGCCATGTTGGAGGCCAGTGACGCGTTGTTGAGGTTTATGCCATTGCCGTTGTACATGTTGCTGTTATTCGGCTGGCTGAACTGCGGCGATGCCTGCTGCTGCGAGAACATACTGCGGAGGAGAGAGAAGTTGTGTAAGTAAACACAAAATCAATAATATGAATGCAGAAAGAAAAGTACGTGACAACACTCACTTTGGGGTGTGACCTGCTCGGTCAGCCAGAGAAATCTGGCAAGTTTTTCATCTTTAACAAGTGGTACAAACAACTCTATGGATAATGGATGTCAATACTCTCTATGGATATCAACAATGTTGTTGATAATCATGAATCTCCTCACGAGCCCTTCCTAAAAATAGCTACGCATATATTCATAGAACTCGAGTTGACAACATGAACTGATGCTGTAATGAGGTGCATCAGCCATCCTTACCTGTTGACTCCCATATTACCCTGCGGCCATCCATTCATGTCAGGGGAACCCTGGAAAGCAGCACTCTGCTGGCCCTGCTGCATCATCGGGGACTGTGTGTGGGCCATGCGGGGTGAAAGCAGAGGGCTCTGTGGTGTGCCGGGACCTCCGAATGTTCCATCTGCCTGTTGGCTCATACCTGTGGATCAAAAGAGGTCAGCCCGACTCAACCCACGGAGACTTGTTAATAAACCAATGCAATGAGTAAGGAAGTGTAGTCGACTCCATGCAAATGACACAAACATGCCACATAAAGACAAAACACTTTGACGAGCACCTCGCGCGATAATAGCTCATTCCAGAATTATTAGCCAAGATTTTATATTTCCGTCATGCATGTGACAAATAGAAGGCAGAGAACTAGAAAGAAAATGGATTGGGAGATAGGTCAGGAGGGAGAAAGGGGAGAGAGAGATCAAACTATTGCTCTGCAGGCACCCACAAGCCATAAATAAAAAGTTCTCTAACAAACCAGATTACCAAATTATATAGATCATACCCAGGCTGCATGTCAAGCTGTTAGACTGACAGGTACCAGAGATGATTCATGTCCTTACTGATCACAATATTTAGATTTTGGCATCAGTGTGGAGCATGAAATAATGCTTTATTGTGCTTCTAGTGTCCCCTGGTGGAGCAAGAGTGAATAGCCAGGTCACCCTTTTTGGACAGCGCACAAAATAATAAAGACAGATGGCCACACTTACAGACAACTACTCACAAGTTATTCCGTTTTAAAGGGGAGAATATTAAGTATGATTTGCATGATGCAATGGAAGCTGATTATTCTAGTCATCAGTATATAAAGTTACAAATCGCATGATAGCAGCTACCAAAAAGCACATGAAGCAGCTCAGGTGGTCACATCAACACACACATACGCACACGAACACAGGTAGTAGGGTGAGGTGTGTGGTTGGCTGGGGTGGTGGAGCAGTACCTGAGTTGGGAAACTGAAAGGCACTGTGCTGCATTTGGGGGCTGAGTACGGCCCCGTACTGTCCGCCCATCATGTTTGTGTTTCCCATCATCATCTGTGAGGAGGAGGGGGGAGTGGAGGAAGAGGAGGAAGTGCCATGCAGGTGGAGGTTGGGGGTAAGAGAGGGCAGGCTGGGGGAGAGAGGAGAGGGGAAGGAGCTGGTAGGGGGAGGTGACGAGGCCAGGCCTGTACTGGTACCGTAGCTGGGCGGGTAGGGGAGCTGCTGGGGGTTGGCCTGGGGATTCCGAGGGTTACTCATGCCTCCGGCGGCCATGTTGGGAGGCAGGTTGAGGCCCTGAGCCCTCATGGCCATGCTCCTTTGCTGCTGGACCTGCTGGGCCTGTTGCACCTGCTGCTGCTGCTGCCTCTGTCTCAGGTGATTACTCAGCAGTTCCCGCTGACGTTGTGCCAACATCTGAGCATTGATGGTTCCCTTCAAGTAAGAGAGGTGGTTTGAATATAAAAAACAAAACAAAAAACCCCACTAACAGCATCTACAAAAAGCAAGTCTACACAACACTGACATCATAGCCTTTAATTTACTGCAAGCTATTAAAGAGATGAACCCTACCTACAGTCACAACATGTCTGTGCAGGCGGCTCATGTAATGATAGTGGGCATATACCTGGTTTGGAGCATTAGTTCTAAGAGGTAGGTTCACATTTGACACACCGCTCATCTGAGTCATCATTGGTTGGCGATTCTGCTGGAAGAAAAAACAGAAGAAAATGGTTGTTACAGAGAGAAATATACACTTTTTAACCCTCTGTAGCTGACGGAGATGCTGTGTGTCTAAAAAAAAACAAAAACAAACAAACAAACAGGATTTTCAAGGAAAGCCCTCAAAGCACTAACACAAAACAAAACAAAAACAAGACACCTTTCCTATTGGTGGAAAAATACATCACATCAACCAATCACACACTTCTATGGCAACATGTGGTATTTGGTTGCTAAGGAAAAGGAGAAAAAAATGAAAGTAATGGCAAAAGAGAGCGATATAAATAGCAAGTTTTGAGACATTTAGCATGTTTGGATTCTACAGTTAGTGTGTAGTGTAGTCATGTTTTTGTTTGTGTGTGTCAAAACAATGAGGCCGCTCGTTGTGTGTCAACGAAGCCACTACTGAATATCAGAAATGGCCAAAAAGCCACCAAAGGCAGATTGAAATGTACACGCTATCTGCAGGTGGACAACAGGAGTCACACACCTCGAAGGTTTCATGCCTGTGTACAAATTTAGCAAACAACAATTTATATTTGCATTTCAAGTTATGAATATGATGCATTAAACATATTTGTGGTTTTCATAGATTAAAAAATACTTTCAACTTTATACTTTTAAAATTAAGTATAAAGTAAATTAAAAGTAGGAAAAAATGGCCAATTATATCCATGACCCTGGAGGGTTAAAACCCTTAAATAATCTAATTTTTATGAAGACACTGTTAATCAGGATTTGAAAATAACATAATCTATAGTTTTACATTAGAATTAGGCTAAAGTCCACTGGAAGCCTAATGCGTGGCAGGTAGATTTAAAAGTTCCTATGTTGTCATCGAAGCTGCTAAAATGTCACCCTCAAGGATAAAAATACAATTCCTGTCCGTGTGTTCGATCCTAAAGAGAGAGGTTATAGTAGAGTCAAGAATCAGTGAGCAAGAGTACTTCCAGCAGTGTCAGGACAGTCTAGATTCATGTGCACCTGCTGTGACTGAAGCCGGTGCTGGAGCTGCAGTCGTAGTGTGTTGGGCTGGTTGGGGACGACTCCAGTAGGCCTGAGTCCTGGCCGGGCCGGCATTCGCATCATTTGGAAACCTGGCCGTGGACCCATCTGGCCAGGCATCGGGTGGAAACCTGGCTCTTGCATGGGGCCACCAGGGTAGCCTCTCGGTGCCATGTGTGATGCTGGGGGACCGAACTGCTGGGCGTACATGGGGGGCTTCTGATCCAACATCACCGAGGGCTCCTGGGGGAACTGGTCTGGCTCCAGTGATTGGCTCTGAAACAGGCAGCCATATATTATTAAAAAAAAATGCAGCACCACAAACAAAAATAATAAAACATCACTTAAAAACCAAGAATGTTATAATGTAGGTTTGGCAGGATGGAAATCCCACCTGTTCTACCATAGCAGGGATCCCCAGAGCACGATCGAGCTCCTCCAGGCCATCAAAGTCTTTTAGTGCGGTGTACAGCTGAGACATCAGAGCCCCCTCGTCCACTGCGCTGCCATCACTTGAGCTGAGCCCTGTATTGCACAGCAGATCATCCTGGGGTGGAGCCCTGAGCGAAGAGGAGACAAACAAATATTTTAAAAACATCGTCTTGTATATGCCACAGCAAACATTTAGACCAACAGTTAAACTATTAAAAAATATAGAAGTCTGATGAGAATAAAAATGTTAACTGTGAAAAATTATGCCACTGAGCTACGCTGGTAATGAGCTTACCTGCTCTGGTTTACAAAAGCTGTCTGATCAATTGGCATCATGCTGTCTGGCCAGGGGGCCGTCTGGTTGGGTGGAGCCTGTTGTTGTGAGAAATGGTCACCAACCATTCCAATGTCTATATCTGGTTGGGCTAAATAGAGAAGAAAAAAAGATTGGCTAAATATTAGACAGTGAAGTACTTATGGGTCATGATGAATCAAGAGTGAATACTCTTTAAAATAAAGGAACATGCAGGGTAGCAGATCTGAGTTAACGCCATGTGCTGCACTGTGGTTAACCACTAGATGGCAGCTTTTACAAGTATGACAAGTAGATATCTGCTAAGGAGCTTTAGATGGATCACACCTGACAACTCAGATCTAATTTCCACAAAGTACAAGTAATTTTGTTCTGGGTTTCTATACTGACATGCTGGAGAATCTGTTACTCTCTTGGGGGCTGGGAAATAGCTTTATTGCATTGCTCAGTCTGAAAACCAGCAGTGTGGTTCTTTCTGCATTTAAAACATTGTAATATGTATTTTTTTGGTACACAGCGCTCTTACCATTAGGCATAATTGGAGACTGCATCATCTGTCGGGGCCCTGGTTGGCTGTTGGGCCTCATGGGAGTACCACTGGGTCCCGTCCTGCCCTGTATGGCATTTTGATGGCCAGGGCCCGGCGCTCCTATAGGAGGTGCAGAAGCTGGGCCTACCCAGCCCTCCTGCTGCTGCATGCCTGGCCGTGGACCACTTGGAGCCATCAGTGCTGGGGGAACACACACACACACGAAGATAAGAACCAATGAGAAAAATCTCAGGACAGATTTCAGTAGATGCCCGCTGCCCCATGATGCAACATAAGGAGGAAAGACTAATATGTGGGAGTAGCAGTCAGAGAACTTTGTGCCAGTGTGGGTGATTGTTTCCTGTCACAGGAAGTGAGTCACAGTGCCATGGCATGATATGTTAAAGGGTGAGCGACACACACGAGGAACGAAGTCCTTCCTCAGAACTCAGGAGCAGCTCTAAGTGTTACCACAGTTATCTAGGAGAAGAAAAATACATTTCTGTCTCTACTTGTTTGGCTGTTGTGAGATTGAAAGGTGGAAATCACACTTCACAAAAACCTGTCAAAAACTGAAAAGAGATTCATTACAGACAGTCAATCTAAACTGAGGAAACACATTCAGCGCCATGTAATCTGAGAAACAATGATCTCAAGATTTAGCCTCCGAGCAAGACGGCCAATGTTTCAGGGTTTCCTTCATGTAGCTAAAGCCTGCTCAAATGTGATTTATTATTAGACTACAAAACTAAAACAAAGCTTCTGGTAGCTAAATACCTGCACAGTAACAAGATAAGCCACTCTTACAGACTGAATATTTTCATCCAGCAATCTGAGCATAAACAAGCATTTAAACATGGATTTAATTCATTTTTTTAGGATATAGTGAGGTGTGAAGGCAGTATCACACACAGTCAGACAAATACAAGCTTCTGCAAATCATAACCATCACACCTACCTGCATTGACCATAGCAGCCTGGTTACCCATCATGCCATGGTTCCCCACCATGCCTTGCTGTTGCTGCTGCTGCATAACAGTGTATGGGCTTGTGGTCCTTATGGGGTACTGTAATGATGGCTGCTGGGGGGACATATTCACGTCCAGAGACACACTTCTAACAGACAAACCCCTTCCTGGCTGGCCTGGTCGAACACCGCCAAAGTCTGAAGACAGGAATAAATGCAGCTTATTCCTGCATGCTCATTGGAGTATTTTATGAATACACAATGTGGTTAGTGCACTTTTTTCTGTTTTTCAAACAAAGAAAGGGACTCACTAGTGGGTCCCATGCCGGGCCCAAGGCCCCGGTGTTGCGGCTGTGCAGCCATGACAGGACTGCTCTCAGACATCTGCAGGATGTCATTGATGATGTTCTGTTTGTCCATGGGACTGGGCAACGAAACAGGCCGCGGCTCACAGAAGAGCTGTGGCTGAGCGTTCTGCAGGTCATTCAGGATGTCATCCAGCTCCGATGACTAGAGGACAGATAGACAAGTGGGAAAAAAAAAGTGAATTAAATTAGCTGTTAAGGCTCCCATTAGGAACCCTTCACTCATTCACCTGTAAATGCACAAATCGAAATTATTATTAAGCACATCTACCGAGAGCAAACTTCCACGAGGTGTCTTTCAGTGGGATTGGCCTTGTTTATAAAACAGGATAACTAGAAGAAAAAAAAATGGAGCACTTTACATCAAATCTAGGCCAGACTTCACTTTGACTTAGCTTCTGGCTGAGTGGTTCTTTCAGGAGGTTTATTACACGTTCTCTACTTTTAAATCCAAAATTTTACTCCCACTGAATTAAGAAAACAACAAATACAGAAAACATGTGGCTACTTAAACTTTGTCCTGCCAAAGTAAAACAGTAGAGCAGATATAAGCAGCAGTCAGGCTAATGCCAACTGTTTGAACTCCTCTCTGCCTCCTTACTGTAAACAGCTGTACTGAGCCAACTCTTTGCAGCCTGAAGCTGCATTCATACACAGCTGGACTCTCTATACAATTTCTGTTTCATTTCTCCACACACACTCAAACACAAGGGCATGCTGTGGACCTGATCTTGAACAAAAGAACTGGAAGAACCACAAAAGAATAAACTTCTTAGTGTCCGTTTCACAACACTGGCATGGCGTGTATTTATCTTTCTGTCGCAGATGCGGAGGACACAATAACAGGAACTCTTGAATAATGCAGCTCAGTAAAACATCTCGGCAACCCACACCCTTTACAAAAAAAAAAAAAACAACAACTGTCAAAGCATTAATAAGCAACAACCAAAAAGAAACTACAATTCCACAAAAGTGATCCGGGCACTTTCTAGCGAGGCTTGAGGGACTTTGAGTAAATAAGTTGCACTAGCTGCAACTGTCCACCAGAGTGCAGCACACACAGAATCACTGAATCCCCTGATCATGACATACTGTACAGCAGGAAAGCAGCACACCAGCACTGTTTCAATGTTGTACTTGACAATGACATGTATTTGTTGGGCATGTAACTGCTGCTACAGATAGAAGGCTGCCAAATATGCCTGATAGAACAAATTATCTAGACGGCTCAAGGACTGCAGCCTCGTCTCGGTTATGCCCAAATGCACTTCTTATTTATTTATTTATTTTACATCTTGGAAGATTTTATTTAAATAGTATCTCAGTACAGCCGAATATAGACAGCCGCACATAGCTGATCACAGCTAGAAGCAGACAGGATATGTAGGAAAGCTAGAGAGAGTAACAGAGTGAGGGGTGGCGGTGGTGGTGGGAGAGAGAAAAGCCCTAATGAGGTCAGGAATGATGTAATGCTTCTGTACACTCTCAGTTTGCTCTCCTCCTCCTCCTCCTCTTCAATTCTCTCTCCTCCCATTTTCTATTCTCTCCACTTCTCCAGTTGCTTTTACCCTTAATGGGTCCCATTTCTATCAATTCATGTTACACTCCACTTTCAAATGCATGTTGGTGCATGTAATGCAATGTGAGCCCTCCTTTTTTGCATCTCTCACCATTTTACTGTATTTCATTTAAAACAAAATAATGAAAGAAATCAAAGATTTTAAAACCATAAAAAGGATCATTTTTCACTGCAGAGCTGATTTTCATTTCCAGCAGCCTTTGTAGGACAAATACACAATATATATATAAAGTGGGACACATGTCTAGTTGTAAGTTGAAGCCACATGTGAGTTATAAACAGCACATGTATCATAAAAGGCATCAAAGTAAACTGCAAGTAAACTATTCCAGCGCTCCTGTATGAAAGGAGCACTGCAATTTTCAGGGAGTGTAGTAAGATCGTGATGTTTGACCTAACAACTTCTTTACTGAGTCTTTAAAAGGTCCAGCAGAAATTTTTTTTCCAAATAGCAACTACAAAAAGCACTACTTAAAAACTCTGTTATCTGTTGCAATAGTTGTATTCGAAACATTAGTTAACATACAGTTTCAAAGCACGCTTTCAAAGTACTGAGCTGGTATTTAGTAACGGACCAACACTGCGAGTGTGACATGCGAGTAATCTCCAACTCTTCCATTAAACGTCCAGTGCCCTAATGGTGATGTGGACTTCAAAAGGACACAGGAGCCCTCCAGAAGCCATGATCTAGCGCATGAAATTTTGTAGGAAAGGGAAGTGAGAAAGGCCAAGAAAAGCAGAAGTGGCACTGTCAAGTAAGGAAAAAGGAAAAAGTCACCCCAGAGTCATGCTGCTCTTTTGTTACCTAAATGTAAACAAGTGTTAAATAAAATAAAAGTCAGGACAACACATGGCTCCAACATTAATTGCAACACTTGCACAGACATCTGACATTTAACTGGGAGTACAAGTGAAGATTTTCTGCTTCTGCATTTGGTGCAGAAAAGTTATTTCAGTCATTCTGATTTACTTTTTTGAGTAAATCAGTTGGAGTTTTTGAGACTAGCTTAATTCCAGCTTTTTAGAAGCAGAATTTAAACCAATTTTCTTTTCCCCCCCCAGTTAGATCCAAAATTAGGTGTCGATTGATCAGCTACTTCTTGAAGTTACATTGGTGGACGCAGGAAAAATAGGCAACGGAAAAAATCTTGGACTCACTTTGTGAAGAGCCAAAATGTGATAGCTCAAAGAAGCCACCAAAGGAAGTGAAGACTAGTCTGAGAGTTACTGTAAAAACTGGTGAAACCTGCATGCTGACCCATGTCCACTACTGAAAGCACCACTACTGGGAAATGTGGCCTAGTCTGACCACCTGTGGGCTTTTAACCCTGGAAAGAGAAGGCAGAAGGCAAGCTGGTGAAGGTACGTTAATACTCTGGGAATATTCAACTGAGAAACTTTAGATTCACGCATTGATGTGATATATTTTAAAATATATCACCTAGCTAAATATTACAGACCACAGAAACACCTTAATCCATGATGGGAGTGACCTCTTTCAGCTGGATAATGTTTGCATCATAAAAATTCCTCAAGAATGATTTAAGAACGAGAATGGTGAGTTCAAAGTTTTCACTTGGCCTCCAAATTTCACAGATCTCAATCACACTGAGCATCTGTGGAACATGCTGGAAAGAAGAACCTAACAACTTGAAGAAATAGATCTACTTTAAACTTCTTGGTGCCTGAAACTGAACCTAAAAGCACAAACTCAGACATAATGTGAGTACCATGTCTCAACGGGGAACACGGTGCACCACAACAATGTAGGTGGTTTTGACGGTGTGGCCTATTGGTGTATATATGGTACAATAAGAAGTCAATTTTAGCTTCAGAGATAGTCTTAAGAAAACAGAAAATGTAAAGATAGTGAAGCAGGTAAGAGAGTGAGTCAGATACAGCCTATTACTTCATTGGTCACCTAAACTTCTAATCTTATTTGGCAGATGTGACACAGCGAACATGTGACAAAGCCAGATGCTTTGGTCATGAGCAAGCACATGAAAAATGAAGTTAAAGATTGGATCAAGGAATAACAAACTGACTTCCTTAAATTAGGGATTAAAGAGCAGAGTCACTTTTACGGATTTAATATCAAAGATTATCATTGTCAGGGAAAACAACCGGTAACTGCCTCGTCAATCGCTAATAGTCGATCTGATCGGCAGTTTGGTACAAGTCTGAACCACCCCTGTTTTCAGCCATACTCATAACTCCATCAGAGCTCTGCTCTGATTTCTCATTTAGCTCTGCTCCAGCCATCAATAATTCAGCCCTCAACAATCATGAGGACGAGAAAGGCAGAGGAAGGGAAGGAGCGTCAGCGAGAAAATAGTGGGTGAGGTTAGTGGAGAGGAGGATGAGTGGACTCAAACTAGTACAGTCAGCTCTCACACATGGCCAAGCAGCAAGTCACCAGTAAGGAACAGAAGCCCACTCACACACATGTAAAGGCTCTAATGAAGCCTCAGCTTAGAGCACGTCTAACAAAATGCTCTTGTTCTAGTTAATGAGATCTGTTAAACTGGAATGTGTCACCACATTAAGTCGTGAGTGTGTTAACGTACTAAAGGCAAAAACCCAGAATTCCCTCATTTCAGCTGCACTTTAAATGTAGGGCAAACAAAATCCTTTTAAAATACAGTCTAACTGTGTTCCCTTGTATACTGGCCACTTCCACAAAATAAAACCCTTTGGCATTACACATTAAAACCTGGATTTCTCTCAATTTCTAATTCTCTTTATTGTTTCTTGCACGTTCTGCAAACACACCACTCCCTCTCCCCTCTATCTCCATGGTAGCAGAGAGGACATGCAGGAGCATATGGCTCATCATTTTCACTCTGCCTGCCGAGGCTGGCCTCTCCTGGGGGTATCTACACCTCTCTCCTCTCCCGTTCTTTGTTCAGTTTAACAGCGGCTCTTACTGTATTATCCAACCAATCACCTTTCCCTCTTCTTCACATTATGTACCCCAGCACACGAGCACATACTGTACATACACTGCGAGCGTGCATAGCTGCGTGACAGTCGGTGCCGCTGTCTCTCTCTGAATGGAGAAAAAAAACAAACAAAGCCTAAAATATATTTAAAAAATAATAATAATAATAAAAAAAGATTGATTTTTATAAATTCCCTTAAAACCCACTCTGACGCAGGTTATTCTTTTGTAGGCGGACATTTCAAATTGGACAATCAAACCAGGTTATCTGCACCCTGATCCACAGTAAGCACAGTTTGCACACAGATTACCTTTTTATTAAAAAAAATGAACATGCACTTTGACAAAAAAATGTGACCTCTGTTCAGTGTTACTGACATTTAAATGGCATGCATGCAACCCAGACTACGTGACTGGTCGAAGAAGAGGAAGCTAATGATACAGAGACAGAAAAGAAAAGGAAGGGCATTTATGTAATTATATGTAATTTGTTGTAATTCTGCGGTTTAGCAGTGAAGAGTATGTGATAGAATGACACTTGCAGGCTTGCATAGGTGTTTAGTAGAGCGTGTCATGCGCAGGTTTCCTGTATGAAAGCTTGTGAGTGTCTGTGAGGCCGGGTTTCTTTCCTGCATTAGGGCATCAGCAGGTTGTTCTAAACACTCTGCCTTGCTAGAACATCAGCTACAAAGAAATTTTGAGTTTCACCAGCAACACTCTGCCCGCTCACTTCCTTTGACTCCTTTCTCTCTTTCAGCACCAGTCTTGACCTGAGCACGGTGCCAAACCTGAGGAATCTGGCCAAAAGCAACCAGGATCAAATGGCTGAAGAACCACAGGGGCTCCTTCCAAATGTCACAGTTGTTTGAAGCTGGCGGATAGATTCCCTCAGCTGCCAACACACAGGCAGTGAAAGGACCTGATGTGTTTATATACATTAATAAAGAGCATACACAATGAGTTCAGTGTATATGATGGTCATTCGGAATGTATATATGCGCAACAAATATTGTTTGCCTTCTGCATTCCCTGACTGTTTGTACATTTAGCTGTAACATCCTGCATGAACGTGGCATCTGCTACCTAACCCAGATTCATGCAAAACAGAGAGAAGAGGCAAGTGGAGCAATAGAGGGCAGAAAACTTTTGCTTTTTGCAACAGGCTAAAGAGGTTACAGTTAGTTTTGGGGTAACTCTAGTCCTTTACTCATTTCAAAGAAGAAAAAGACAGGAAACAAGATTAACTCCGTTAAACTGACCTGTTCAGCGCGGTCGTATCCTGCATCTTGTTTCTCCGCCTTGACCTGCGGGTGTTTGCCCCCTTCGACTTTCACTTCCCCAGGCTCTAGCTTAGGGACCTTGTCCTTCATTACAGTGTCATCCTTATCCAGTAGGTAGCGTAGCAGGGCATTGTCCTTCTTCTTGGGGCTCAATGGCTCCTGCTTAGGAGTAATGTCTGCCGCAGAAGCAGCACTACCGGAACCCTGGGGTTGGTCTTGGCCCATCTCTTTGCCTGTAGCCTCTGCGGTGAGCTTAGCAAGATCCACGGGGGATGTACTGTTCTGAAGCAGTTGGTGGAGGATTTTATGTTTTTCTTTAAGGGACGTGGCGTGAGTGTTGCCACCCCGGACCCCTGTCCCAGCCTGGTCCTTGCCCTCAACTCCTGCACCAGGGGAAAGAGGCGTCTCCAGGGGTTCTGGCTTGGTGGTGAGCAGTTGCAGTAACTTGGTGTGGCCCTTGTTGTCATGTCCACGGCTGTGAGCATCATGGCCCTCGAGGGGTCCATCCCTCTCCTCCTTGGGCTCCACTAAGTTCCCCTCTGTTTGGGCCTGGGTGTGTCCCTGACTCATCTCTGAATGAGGTCCAAATGAGTCTCCTGAACCACCAATAGCACTGGTGGATCCTCCAAGTTTTGACATCAGATGAGCGTTTACCGCTGACCCTGGTGTGACCCCAGCTGGGGAGCCCATTTTCCGGTCTGGAGACCCTAGTGTATGTGTATGAGGGGGTCCATGCCCGTGTCCTACACCATGGCACTCACTAAGGGCCTGCAGAGCTGACAGAGAGCTGCTAGTATAGCTGTTAGCATGGGTGCTAGCCGTGCTACTTCCTGCACCTCCAGGCCCTCCACTGCACATCCCCACTGGTGAGGGTGAATGCAGACCCCCTGCTACACGAGGGCTGCTTGCACCCCCAGGACTCCCTCGGTGCCTGGGTGATAGCATAGAGTTCTGCGGAGGTGGATGGGGTCCTCCGGCTGGGCTTGGGCTGGCACGAGAGGGGCTATTCATCCTCCAGTTGGGGCCCTGCTGTGGTGGTTGCATGCTCCCATTGTGGTTGTGTGGCTGAGGACAGCCAAAGCGGTAGACCTGCATATGCCCCCCCATAGCCGTTGGTTCTCTGGGACCAGCAGGACCTGGGGGGGAGAAAGGCGTGCTGTTGCTGCTGATGGTAGTGTCCTGGCCCTGAGGCCCTGAACCTGGCAAGCTGCCTGGGGTTGGAGGAGTCATGGAGGGAGTGGAAGAGTTCATTGGTTTGGGAGCCATCCCTGTGGCCTGATTGCCAGGGCCCATGTCCTGACCCATTCCACATACTGTCTGCTCCCTGGATTTTAAAACACAAACACACACATTAGAAAAAAACAATACCAAAAGTTGTACATGGGAGTTAGAAATCTTAGAAAACTGGCTGCTTTAAACTGAAAAGGAACATTTCTGCATTTCTTCAAATACGCTTTTTACTATCATATGAATGCATGCACAATGAGATGCGCAGAAAATCAATAGGGTAAAGGGTAAATAATCTATACAGTATAAACTATACTGCAAGAAAAATGTCAATGTGCATGCCAAGGATGGGATATGACATGTAATAAAACTCTTCTGTTTGCCAACAATGAGACAAAGTATGAATACAACTACATGAATTTACCATGAGGAGGAAGTGAGAAAATATGTTTGTTTTGGTTTTTTTTCTGGTTTTGTTTCTCTTTGGGGGGGTGTAACATATCGCTGTCTGATTTTGACCAAGAACACTTGGAAGCACATATTTTGAAAACCGTGCCATCCTCACAATTTCCATGAAGCCAACAGGCAGTGCTGCAGGGAACTCACAGGACAAAACATGCTAGCAAGTTGATGCCTCGGGTTTATGTCAGTCTTTTTGACTCATGTGGAGCAGGTAGGACATACCTCTGTAGGATGTGCAGGGACATGTAGAGCTGAGGTTCGTTGGTGGCAGACGAGCGTACCAGTTTGCTCTTGGTGTGGGCTGAGACGATGGTTCCGTCAGAGAGGGAGAACCGATAGATGGGGCTGAACGCCTGGCCGTGTCGGAGCACTAGGCACACATGTACACACATTGATGGCAAAATAACACTTTTCATTTGACCATTTCCTTAATGTGGCTGCAGCCCCTCTTTAAACAACCGTTTCATGCTAATGCAGCCATCCCCAATGACTCTAATATCCAGAGCAAAAAATTAAACACGATTGTCCTCATAGTTAATGGAATTACCTTCCTGCTGGTGTCTCTTTGCAAAAGACATCTCTCCATCATTCTGTAGGTGGAACCTTTGGATGCAGCGCCTCACAAGATCTTCCCAGCCCGGCTTCATGGATGCTCGTAGCAGACTGGTATCTAGGGATGTTATCTTACCTAAGCACACAGTACGGGATTAGGGAGACCTTAGTCATAAAGGAAAGCATTTCGGTTGACATACACAAATGTAAAGATTTAATGTCGACATTAAAAATAAATGTCTCTTCTGTTGACTCGGCCAGGATCTCAGTGGTTTAATATTACTTAAAGAATACATTATAAATCTTTGTTTACATTCTAATTACAGCTTACCCAACGTTAGAAATGGCTTCTGTGTTAGTAAACAGAATAGAAGGTCCTGACTATATAGGATTAGACATGGAAATACAATTATAAGTGCTGTCAGTATAAATTTAAAAAGACCACCATTTAGACACTCATTACAGCAGGTAATGAGTTCAGGGCAGCTCAGCCTCAACTATCTTTAGAGCCCAACAAGTACTCTCATGCTGTGTGTGTAAACACAGTCACAGCAGTGTAACAGTTGTCCCTCACTGGAATACAATTTAAATGAAAGTATGATGCATTTGAAAGGGTGACAAGCACACTGCTGCTTGAATGACAGCCATAGGGACTGACTAAAGACTTGTCAAACTAGCATCCATAATAGAACTATTCACAGCTCCGCACCATGTCCAAGAAGCTCTTGTAGGCATAACAAGAATGTAGAGGCAGTACTTTCAGAAAAATATGAGAGAAAAATAATGCTGTCAATCTAGAATAAAACAAATCACGGCAATTATTTAAAATTGTGCAGTCCAAATAAAGAGGCAAATAAATAATAGCCCTGCCTAGATGCATGGCTACTGAGGTCTGTGTGGGAAACCACAGTAAATTACTATACATGAGTGACTAAGTGTGTGTGTGTGTGTCTGTGCCACACAAGTGGTACGGGTACATCAAAGACCAGGTGAAACACAAACAGCTGTCTGTGTCTGTGTGCCAGCGTTCAGGCAGGTACTTTACCTCCCAGAGAGCAGCCTGTGGTAGGAAGCTGGGTCTACTAAGTTGTTCAATCCTAAGGATCTTTACCGAGGATATAATATTCTTTGAATCCCTAACTGTAGTGCAAAGTGACTTACAAGCTGTTGACATCAAATAAGGTACTGCTGGAACTTTGCCTCACTAGAATCGTTACACCATTCTTTTGATGCAGGGCCAAGTTTTATTTGAAAAGCCACATATGGAAAGATGCTATGCTAAAACAAAGATGCAATAAAAAAAATCAAGAGCAAAGTTTTCTGTGAACAGCGGTTTGTAGTTCACTGCCGGCTGACATGTTCGTGTACCTTGTAGGTCCTGACGTGTAGTGAAGCTCTCGTGCGTGGGAAGCATGGGTCTTTCCTTCGTTGGCACTCTGCGAGCTACACAAATCAGGCACGACTGAAAGTCTAAAAATAAAAAATAAAAAAAAATAAAGTAAAAATAATTAAAAACTCAGAAAGAGAAAACAGAATAGCACAGGAAAGAAAATAGGAGATGGAGTATATAACAAAAAAAACAAAAACAGGGAGATAAACAGAAGAGGTGAAAGGGGGAAGGGATGGGAGAGAGGGGAGGGATGGGGTGTAAATGATAGAGACAGAGGGAGGGAAAGAAAATGAAATGCATGTTATTCCCAGGCAGCATAATTAATACAGTTATTAATGAGCATAGGGATCAGGGCTCCGCTCCTTTCATGAGGAGGAGCAGCTATCGCTGGCAAGGGAAATGATGAAGTGTGACCTTTGAAGGCGTGTGTGTGTGTGTGTGTGTGTGTGTGTGTGTGTGTGTGTGTGTGTGTGTGTGTGTGTGTGTGTAAGCGAGCTTGAATGCCCATCTCTGGCTACTCTCACCTGCAGGAACATCTAACACTGATGACACCTCTCCTGGCTCAACATTAAAGTCTGTGTGTGTGTGAAGCGCTGACTGACTGATGGCAAATATGACACTGCCAAGTCCAGGACTGGGGTGACCCCAAAAAGTCTGCCATCTAACTTTTCGGTGCCAGTAATACCCACACTCCCATACAGGTTTCTTGTAAATGAATGCATGCCAGAACTAACACACACGCGCACACGCACACTTGCACACAGTCCTATTAAAAAGCCTCTTGGGTGGTCCGACCCTCAAATCTGTGAATCTACATTAATTTCTTGCTTTCCATCGCCTCCATTCCCCCTGTTTCTGTCTATAGCTGGACAGATTCCTGCACTGGTAACCACTCATCTTGCTTTGCCACTTCAGTACACACAAACACTGGCACACCTCTGGCCCGAGTCCTATTTGGCCTACTTGCCAAAGTATGGCTGGCAAACAGCTGGTGCACAAAAAGCAAGCCAGAGAGTAGGGAAAAGGCTCTAACTAGATTTGGAGTGAAACATTTGCTTATTGTTTTAATTTGCCGCTGAGTTAAAGATTGGCAATATAGCCTTTGAACAAAAGGGATTCAGGCCGCTGTACAATCATAAGTCCTGAAATATTCTGGCTAAAGGTCGTTTGTAATGGAATTTTACACTCTTCAGCATCTCATGCTCCCATCTAAAGCCTTGAATACCACTGGAATAGCCCTGTGACCTCTCAGTGACTGAACTCCGAAAGCAGAGCAGAAACAACATACAATTTAAAATCGCTTCCCTGGAAAGGAGAGCAGATGTTTATACAAGAAGCTAACACAAATTCCTCTTCTTTCTTTACACACAAATGCTCCCAAATGTGTCGAGTTTGTTTGTATTCTGTTGTTGTGTTCAAGCTGTTGTGAAAAGTACTGAATGACTGCTTTTGCTGTTGCATTACATGGTTAAAGCACATGGTTCCCTTGGAGTCATAAGCCCAGGTTTGGAAGGGATGTACATGAATTATAGATGAGCTTTAATGACAGCTGCCCAACCTCCCGTCTCCCTTGTGTCACTTAACTTTTCATGGGTGTAAGTTGAGTGGCAGCAGCACTGCTCTTCATCATTTGGCTATACAAATCCAGTTATAAGACAGATAATGGTCAACAATCAACGCCCTATGAATGACTAGCAGCTGATTATTACTTTAAATGATTTTACATTGGGTGGCAACCAGCGTTTCTTAAAGACAAGCAAGCTTTCTTATTTTCCTTCTCCAGGTTTTGTCGATGGTGTGTGTATATCTTTACACTACTTAAAAAAAAAAAAAAAAAGTCTGATCCCGCTCACCTCGACTCAGCTCTCCACTGAAGAGGGCAGAATTCATTGTAATGTTATACAAGTAGACAAATCCTTGCTTTTGTTTGCTTTTTAATTGAACGCTCCAAAGCAAACAGTCAGTTTTAATTGAATTACTTTCTGAAGAGGTCTTTCAGTCCTCTGTCAAGTGTTTTAACGTGCTGACATAAGTGTGTGCAATTTCTAAAAGGGTCAGGTTGCTGAATGTTAAAATGCTTCCCCCGATGATTCAAACACCTTTGTACTTCAGGCTATATTATTTTCTCGCTCTTGGAACCTAATCATACTATAAAACTATTTAACAAGGTTACTGCAAATGGTTTAGACTTAAGCAAAGCAAACCATAACATTCAACACAATTGTGCCTAGTAGGAAATGCTTAAGTGTGTTTCATAGGGTGCCGCTTTAGTCTCCGTTTTTCCCTCCTTGCATACCGTCTCCTTCCTCCTTGATGGACTTGGGCTCCGAAACGGCAAAACACTGCATGGTCTCATATTTCTGCTGCTGCGGCTCGTGCTCGTGCGGCTCTTCCTGGCTCTCGCCGTGTGGATTGACCAGCATTCGGCAGTTGAAAGTGTGACTGTTCCTTCTTGGACCCTCGCTGGACCACGGGACACCATTTACTAAATCGAGGGGGAGGAAAGGGAACAGGAGATTTTTTTAAAGCAAATTGTACTGCAGCAAAAACGGAACAACAGAACGCGGAGAATGGGAGCTGCAACGAGCGAGCCAAGAGAGGCTACCACGCTGCAAGTGAAAGACATAATGAGAGCAAGACAGAGAGAATGAAGGCAGAAAAAGTGTAAAAAAGAGAGGGTTGTTGCTGGGTAGAGATCAGTCATAATGAGCAGTTGGAACCCTGAGCCCTGCGCCATCTATCCACAGCTATGCATCACAGCCAGGCCTCCATATGCATGTCCTGTAAAACATCATTGCCAATCTTTCTTCTTCTCTCCAACACTTACACAGGCGCGAGCAAACACACCAGAAAGGGCACACACATGTGTAAGCGGCCGTGCGCGTACGTGCACACAAAGAAAGAAACGTATAGTCACACACGCCACTCTGTTCACTCTAACAAACTCCCATCACACTCCATCTGGTTTGTGATCTCATTCAGTGCATTGATAATCTCCCAGTATCTGGGACACAGCCCACTGATCGTTTCCAGGGTGCTTCGCTCTGCGCTGCTCTCCCACCCAGATGGGCTGGGTACTCAGACCTGAATCCGAAGCGCCACGAGAGAAGGAGAGGAGAACTTCGAGCTCCTGATGAGCTCCAACGGCACAGATCAAAAATCACCTCTCGTGCGGAAGTCATGCAGAGGCAGGATGTTAAATGGCCGCGGCTATGAAAGTAAATTCTATCTTACGTGACAGAATAAATGGAGTAAGGTGAGGATAAACGCAATGTTTTCCGTGTGTGGGCTAAAAAAATGGGAAAGTGAGAACATGAAAATAGGAACTTGGTGAGCGTTCAAGGCAGAGAAAGAGAGAATGACACAAATAAGTGAAGAGAAGGAGAAGGAAGGACATGAAATGGAAATATAGGAGGCGCACGATGCTGCTGACAGGGGAGAGAAGCCAAAAAAAGGAAGTTAATTAGCTGAAAAGGGAGGGAGGAAGAGTGCGAGCAAATGTTTGGGCTGAGCGTCAGCAAAAGGGACAAATGAAGAACCTATAGGTTTTTGCAGCATCCTAAAAGTCTCTGTTAAACAGCTGAATCAAATGCTTTCTGACCGTGACCGTTTAAATGTTTTAATTAATCTGACATCACTGCAACAACAGCCACCTACAACATACCTGTTTGAATAAGGAGAACGAGAGAGGCGAGGGTGTTAAGAGGCAGCGGAAGCACAGCACAAAGGACATACATGCAAAGTCAGGAAAAGCGAGGGACATGGACTAAAAGAGACACAGTGAGACAGAAACTGACAGTAAGAAGAAAAAAAAAAAGGGAAAAAAAAAAGGGAAAAAACAATCTCTGAACCAACCGAGGGATTTAGGCAGCAGGTTCTTGATGAACTCAGCATGATCCCCGACATGCAGCACGCTGTAGACACTGGTGTTCATCAGCTCCTCCTGGTTGTAGCGCAGGTACTGGGTCACGTTCTCTGACACGAACACAATGTTACCCTCCATGTTCACCACAAAGAAGAAGCCATCCAGAGCCTGGAGGATTAAAAAGAAAGACAGTTCAGAAGTTTGTTCACTATGGACTGGGTCATTTTTCTTTCACTGGTTAATGGTCAGGATATTCAGTTTTAAGCATATAAACTCCACAAACAGATGCAGAGAAAGATGTATATTCTACTGAATTCTATTGTTTGTTTGTCTTATTGTAACTTAATTACCAATTAGCTCGTTAGCTCATTATCATTAGGGATGTTCTATTTGCGCCTACTGTGCCTGAGATGTGATTAGTGTGCTCCAGCAAGAATGCTTATACAGCACAAAAATGTTGGCACAAATCATGGCAAATTCTACAATACGCAATACGTCCACAACTCCCTAACAAAAAAGGAAATCTCGCCACGTCTGGTTATTTTCCGCAACATCATCTCATGCACTGTTACCTCTATGATCTCACAGATAATGCCAGGCGACTCAGTGAAGGCGCAGTTTATCTAAAAACTCCAACGACTGCTGATGCTAACATCCCCATGACAGCCGACACATGTACTAGTTGTGTCTGAAGAGGAACGATTAGTACGCCATGTGCCGGGTACATGGATCACTCCCACAGACGCTCACCATCGCTGTGGCTGATAAAAAGCAGGATAAAAGCATGTGCCTGCAGAGACGGGCGGATGTGAAGGAGGAGCAGTACTTAATTGAAAGAATACAGCCCCAGGTCAGCCATTACACACAAGGTGGTGTCAATTAGGCCATCAAATCACCGGGAGCTCTTAAAAAGGGAATTCTGCTGCTTGTAACGCTGTAAAGTTGATGTCAAGATAAGACGCAAGAGACTCTTCTCAAGGTGTCTCACCTCAGCTTAAATAAACATTATCTACACTACACACACACTTGTCAGCGTGTAGGGTCACATGAATTGTTCAATGGGTACCAAGAGGATTTATAACGTAAATGTTTATTTTGTATCGTGTTGGGTTTTTTGCATCCTTGCTCATCTATAACTATAGTGTATATGTCTCAAACTACACTTCCTACCAAATCTACAGTGAACCGACAAGTCTGGATGTAGCAAACCCATATCCCGGGAACACATGATCATGTTGAGAAGAAAGTTTTCCTTTGCACGCCTTAACACAGCACGATCTGAAAATAGATTAAGGAGATCTCATCTATCACTGCATGAAGCAGAGCTGTTCCAAAATGCAACACGGTTGTGTAAGTCCAGTCTGCATGAAGAAAGGCCATGAACTGCACAAGTAGGGCAAACAAAAACAGAGCAAACACTCTAGTGCCAACGCCTGCCTTCCTCCAGACACTCTTGCATAATGTTCTTAGCCAATACCTTAATTTGCAACACCCTCCCTAAATACTAAATATAAACACTAGAGACATTTCTACAGAAACTACAAATTAATAAAGCCTGAATAAATACATTGTGAGTGATATCATAGAACCTATTGTTTTCACATATGATTAAATATTGCTACACAGCAGGTAATGAATTGCAGCAGGGTAGGAATCTGGGAATTTCTCTGGATTATTTAAATCTGAGCAGTGCTTTGCAACCAGAGTTCTCTCTTCTCATAAATTCTCGCTTAATATTAGCCATTTTCTACATTTCTGTCTTAAAGCAATTCAAACATGCCTCTAGTACTGTATGACAGTGATGCTTAACACTTTGCTGGCAGAGGCAAAAATATGCATGAAACACACAACAGCCTCTGTACCGTGTGGGCTAGCAAGGATGCAAACTACATGCCACAATAAATCATGTGACAGAAGAAGACTGCTCCCAGAAGGTTAAAACAACAGCACACTAATGTTTCTTCACAGCCTTGTCCGTCTTTGAGTTGGCATGAGAGTGGGCAGCAGAAGGCCTTGAAGGAGGGTCATGGGGCGCGTGGGTGCATTTCCTGCCGACAGCCATACTCCGCAGAGCACACTGTAATTAGCCTGGGCTGGCGGACGGGGACATGGCTAGAGCGGAGCGGGTGTGAATGGCCGATCGCTGTGTTTTGGGGCTGCTGACAGATGGGAAAGCTTGCAGGCTGCACTGGTCTATATTTAGCTGCGAGTTAGTATGTCGATTCAGTGACGCTGGACCAGGAGAGCTATAAATATTCCATGACAGGACAGATCTAGAGGCGAAGGAAGAGAAGATGGGGAGGGAGAGACAGAGAGGAAAGAGAACTGAACAAGCAGGAGAGAGAAAGGGAGGGAGGAAGTGAGTGAGAGGACAGGCTCAATGGACTGATTCATCCGCCAGGCTGTTGCTTTCTTTCCTATTATATGTAAGCACTCCAGTGGTCCTTCGTGGTACAACGGGGCCCCATTGGCCCGCTTGTGATTTATAGCCAATCAGGGGCGGATACAAGATGCTGGCAGCTTTAACTCCGCAACACTGACACACAACCACGGCTGGCTCGTTTCTAATTGTTCTCTGTAGATGGGACACTTTATATAGCAATCATGATTTAAAGAGGAGAGCATCTCCTGCGTGAGTGGAAGCAAATGAGTGGAGTGTGGGGTACTTCAGCACGAGTCTGGCATTTCATAATATTTTCTTCACATATGGCGCTATGAGTAAGGAGGAAAAGGCCGTGCACCCACCTCCAGCATCATTGGTCCCAAGGCGTCTTTGTCGATCACACTTTGGCCTGTTGATGAGACGTCAGCCTTCTGCACCTCCTCCTCGTTTGCTGCTGCAGCTTTTTCTGTTAAAAGCGAAGTTAGTAAAAATTTAAGAGACTGTGTCAGGGCTCCTTACCGTTTCACAATGAGGAAGTTACTAAAAAAAAGAAAACTGTAACGTACTGTACTGTCAAACATGGAAGAAAAAAAAAGGCTGAAACAAACAACTTTACTTTTCCTCTGAAACTAACCCACATACTATAAAAGAGGTCAGCCACTGACGAGTCTTTTAACAGGTATCCATGCTGCTGCAAAGCAAACACATCGGTCCCCTTTGTGAAACCATGTGGCCATGGCTCACACCGAAGCACAGAGCAGCAGCACAGTGCGAAAGGTGTGTTAGAGCACACAGCTGCCTTGTGGGGGGCAGTCACTGTTTAGATTACTCTGTTATGCCAAAGCCCTGACAAACAAACAAACAAAAAAAGGCCAATATGGAAACAATTAAGCATTGATGGTGTCCAAGCAATGTTGTTCCAAATTGGAAAACAAGTTGTAGCAGTCAAGACTCCTGTTGATTTTCTATTAATGGATATGGAGAGTATGAATTACTGAGCACATAGATGCGTATGGCTTATAATTTACTACTGTTTTCATCTTATGTCCAATCAAAATCCACTTAAAACTAACATAAATAAATATAAATATCCTGTAAGCTCCTGTACCTGTGCTATAATGCGATGCATGTGTCCGTTTGAGTGGGTTAATAACCATGCAGAGAAGCCTTATGTTCAAAGCGTAGGCTGCCCTACTTTTAGAGATGATGATGTGAGGCGGAATATCATTGGGTTTTTTGTTGTTGTTGTCGTTTCTGGCTTCTTCTTTTTTTTTGTGGGGGGGGGCATGTTGCTTTCGCACGATGCCAAGAAGCAGGCTGACCATATGGTGAATAAATATTGTGGTAAGAATCAAACAAAATGATCCCGTCCCTTGTATTTTCTTTTTGGAAGGGTGAAAGCAAATGCAGGGTTCCCTTGGCTTTGTGGGTTTGTGCACCATCGCACAGACACAAATTCATCTCTTTCAGCATTAATGATGTGCGCATCAGCAGGGCCTCTCCGGGCCCAGCGGGGCCCTGTAGACCAGCACAGCTGCCCTGGGTGCAGACCCATCACTCAGTGTCAGTGCGGCCCTCCCTGCCTTTCTGTCTGGAGAACTGTGGAACTGTGCCAGACACAGAGAGGGACTGACCAGTTGAGTAACAATTGCTGCTTAACACACAACTAACAAGACATTTGCTATATACTGTTCCTTCTTTCAGATATTTAATAACAATTTGCTCAGAGTTTATTTTTAGATTTTGAATATTGGAATAAATAATGTACTAGGCTCAGCTTAGCAGCTACACAGACCCCAGTCCACAGTTTTTATGAGTCTTAACTGGGTGCTCCTGCCAACACGGAGTGTTAAAGAAAAAAAAAAAGCTGTAAAACTCTTGGCTATGCCATTATTCTAAAGGCTCTATAAGCATATTTCTCCACATATTGTCTGTGAAGGTGCAACAAGCTGGAAAGAGAAAAGAGACATGCAGAAAATTGCAACCAGTTTCCAAATCAGGGTGGAAAATGTACGCAGACAGTGTGAGAGGAACAAACAGGGATGGATTCATTGCTTTTTTTCTTTTTTTTTTCGTTCCTTTTTCCAAAGGCCATCTTCACCACATGACACATCTCTACAGGAAATCACCAATCAGAGAGAGATATTAAGTCACATAAGTGTATTTGAATACATGTAATATTGTCGCTATAAGCAGAAAGTAAACTAAATGTGGACAACAGAAAAAAAATATACTACTAAAAATAACTACACCTCTGTTTCAGATCACATTAAACACATGAGGTGCAATGAAAAGCAAATAACAGTAGGACATAACATAAGCTCACAGCATCCCCGTTTCACTTGTGCAGGATGAGATGCAGTAGCTTCCTGCTTTAACTACACACACACACACACACACACACACACACACACACACACACACACACACACACACACACACACACAAA